TATTCCTTCTCATAGCCATGATGTTCATAGACAACTTTTGGGGATTTGGTTTGTTGTTTGTTTTTCGTTGGGTTTTTTTGTTTGTTTTTAAGACTAAAGGCACAAGTACAAGTATTCCTCCCCATTGAGCTGGTTAAAGACAGAGTCACTTGTCCCAGTCCATTGTGACCAGCTCACCCTACAACTTTGCCTGATCTACACTCATCATTTGTAAGTTTGTCAAGATCTTACAAGACCTGAACTCCAGAAAGCAGTATTGTAATACACCAGCTGGAAGTGTCTTTGCACCCAAAATAATTCTTATACTACACCTGACTCCCAAGGTATGAGGGACCTCTAGAAAGTTCCTGTCTCACTTTGAAATACTCCCATTAGATTATAAAACTCTAACTTGATGCCCTGCTGAGAATTTTTAAAGTCTTCTCCACTGTATTCTAAGAGCATATAAGCAAAACCCCCAACATTTAATGAAGTGTAAAACTAATTATTATGAAATAAAACTAGCTGTTCACAAAGTGGAAAAACATCACATTTTCATGTCCTATTTTCCTTTAAAATGTATTCCCTTCCCATCATCTAGCATGCTTTGCAAATGTAAAAATAAATATTCTTCACAGTGGAGTGCTGGCTTGAAGGCTACGAGTCCAACAATAAAAAGCTTCAACGTTTAATGGCCCTTAAATGCTCAACATCTTTTTCACTTAATGTAAAATCCATCTGATCTAATAGCTGTGACTGAATTATATGTATGTTTTTTCTATTAAAAGTTAATTTTCTGAGTTGGCAGAGCAATACAATCATTAGATTAAAAAAAGCAGTAATCTCTATAAACTTCCCAGGATTCAGACATATTTCCAAGTCATCTACTCAAAACAAAAAGAAGTCACATACTCACTTCAAAAGTGCTATTGCATAATAGGAACATTCTGTCAACAATCAATTATAAGCTGCACTACCTTATTAACGTTGCTTTACTGTTTCATGGAACAGATCACAAAATGCCTCTGTGAAGCACCCCTCAAACCTCTCAGATGTATTTCATTTACATCTGACATTTTTGTGACCTCCCATTTCCTCCTTCCATTTATCAGCATGTTTGTCCATGAATGCATTAACACTGAAAGCTTCCTTCCCTAGGCAGGTGATACCTCAAGCTCAATGTTACAAACACACGGATCACCATGGGAACTTCACTGATAAACAGACACAGCCCAGATTTTACCCTCACCTTCATGAGTCAATTGAGCCAGAAAAACCCAAACCAATATATACAGCACTGCCAAGGAACTTGTTCATTCCATTTGAGCCTGGAGACATCCCCGTTTGCACAGTATTTAAACAATCCACACCTATTAAAACTCAAAACATTAAGCTTTCTTTCTTGCACGCTATGATTTTATAGCATCACCAATATCGAGGTAACAAAGTCTGAGCTAACATGTTATTACACGAAATACTGAATTACAGTGTTCTCAAGGAAATTCAGATTTAGTTTCTCATTCCTATGGCATTCTTTATTTTGCATTTATTTCTAATGTACGACTTCCTTCCCAGGTAAGTAGGGGAAAGTTCAGGTAGGACCTTCTTCCCAAGTACAATCCTGCTGTTAAGAACAGCGATGTACAAAGGGCAAAGTAACCGCAATAAAAACTCCACAACTGCCTATTGACCCCAGGCTGGCAAAAGCTCCGTGGCACTGCTCCTCCATGAAGCAGCCACGTTCTGATGTGCAACTCAAATGTTACTGCAGAAGATGCGCAATTGGGCCTTCCACGCCCCCCCAACAAGTAGCAACTTCTCAGCTTCATTATCTCCTTTTTAGTACCATATTAACAGGGGATACAGAGAACTATTAAGGAAACGTTTTTAAAAATAGGAAAAAAAAACCCCAGAACACTCACACAACTTACCAACCCCAGCTACCAATTTATGAATTTGCCTTAGAAAAATGGTAATTTTAATTATTCCTTTAAAAACCAGTATGTCCTGCAAGGCATGAAGCCAGTAGTTGTATTCATGCTTCAAGTAACATGACACTGGGTTGAAGCTGCAAAAGTGATCTTGAAGTCATGCAACATAACAAAAAGCCTCAGATCTACGCTGGAACAGCAGTTACAACAATCAAGTCTCAACACCGTAAGAACTTAAAGCGTACAACCTCAGCATTTCCAGGTATCTGCTCTGATACAGGTCAAGGAGTGGAATAACAGTGAATTTTTTCAGCTAGCAGCTTGCTTTTGAAGATGTTTCAGGCTGGTGTTTAAGTGGCATGTTAATCTTCCCTCCCTTAAAACAAAGATGGCAGAAGTAAAATACTCTAGCAGAAAGAAATTACTTTGTCTACTAAAAATAAGAGGATGTAAACAGAATTGAAAAAGCTTTTAAATAATTAGTCTCATTGTGCAGAAAAAAAGGGTTGGAGATCAAAATACCCATATAGAACACCTGAGACTATATAAAGCTATCAAAATTATCAGTGAAAAGCACTTCACAATACACTGTAGATTAGCTGACTCGGTAAAGTTGACAGAACATATCTACTGGCAGAGGGAAGGTTTAGACATATCGAATCTTGAAACAGTTCTACCTAAGTGCCAGTTTCTCTTCAGAAAAAGACCTCAAATGTATATATACACTCATACACTTTTCCCACAGTCAAATTAGAGATTCACAAGAACCCCAAAGAGAGCTTCTGCTTACTAACTCTGCATACAAGCAACTCCTGCAAAGATCCAAGGAAGAAACCATTGTTCCAGTCATTCTTTAAATACAGTAAAGCTTCACTTACACTGTTCATACCCTAACAACTTCACAACCTTAACTCACTTTCATGTCCCACTGGCTGGATGAGATAATCCAAAGAACCAAAAATTAAGCTAATGGTGAAATTAGAGAGCCCTTTGCTTTGTCACACTGAATGAATGGACTTCGGTAGTGCCAAGAAATTATTCTGTAAAGATTGCTTAGCACGAAGTCAGGTAGCAGCGTAAGCTATTAAGTGAATACGCTTTCATTAAAAGCGGTAGTAAAACTTTACCAGCTTACCCCCAAACCTAATGGCTCACCCTGTTTGGTGTAGAAGTGGCCAAAGTTGATTTACTCTGCAGAACTAACTCGCAGGAGCTTTGAGTCTCCACCAGTCACCAAAATTTTACCAACCATAAACTCTGGAAACAGAAAAACCCCACAATCCCAGCAGACCTCTAAAACCACGTGTTACCTGGTACGTGAGAGCGTTCAAGCAGGTTCAATATCCTTCACTACCCAGACTATTTTGCCAAACTATTTGCATTTCTTTACCTTTTACAGAATTGACCACTACAATAAAAAAAGAAGAAAACATTTTATTGATAATGTAATATGGGAGAATTTAGAAAAACATACATAGAACTCCCTCAATAAGGAAACATACAATATCAAAATATGCCAGAGTTAGTATATCAAAACAAATCCTCTCTAATAAGAGTTTCAAGTAATGCAATCATAAAAGAATTTGGCTAAAAAGTAACGTATATGTACTGAGATGTTTTCTGTAATAGTCCTCTAAGGAATTAAAGGAAAGCAGCAGCAGATCTGTTTAACTACAGACACATATTTCGGAAAATATATTAGTGTATTTATATAATAAAAACTGCCCTACACATTCATCACTATGTCTGTATCCTTCTCTGTGGCAGTTGTCTCTTCAATTCCATAACAAGAGTCTGCCCAAAAAGGGACAAAAAAGGAAACAAACATACTACTACTAAAAAAATAAAAGACCTAAAAGCCTGTGAGGTACAGCGTGTTGGGAAGCCCAGTTAACACGAAGCAGAGAACTCAGCACTCTGACTTAGGTCCTTATTTTTCAGGAACGTGGAAAAGGAAGTTTGTCTTTTCTGCATCAGAGTGCCAGATTCCTACTTCCTAGTTACAAGCAAATGCTTTCAACTAAGTAGAGTGAAGTTAACATGGCTACTGAGAGCTCTACAACGTTTAGCTCTATTAAAACAGCCACATACATTATCAGGCTCATTCTTCAATTACTTCCTTTGAACAGTCCCGAATTTCATATCTTCTTTCATAAAACTTACTTATGGGAACATCATCCTTCCATTAAAAACAAAGCCCTGTTTTGTTTAATAGGTGGATTCCAAGCAAATAAAAATTCTCATTTCATTAATCCTTACTATTTGCGTCTTTCTCCATAAATAAGGTTATAGTACATACTTTACAGCTAAGAGGAAAATACCTTAAGCTTCCATGAGATAGTGTTTGAAAATCTAATACCTGAATTATCTAGTGTACAGCTTAATGAGCTGCTCAGTCTGCACCCATCTTAGGGCTAATGAAGAATGAAATTATATAGAAGCAGGACTATTGCGTTTAGATCAAAACACTGCTCTACAAACCATGACACTCCAGTCCCAACTTTTTAGCCTACAGTAATCAATATTACAAAGCATTCATGAAAAGTCTTGGGGGAGGCAAACATAAGAGTTAGTGTTTTGATGGAAAACCTGATTTAAGTCTTGCAAAAAGCAAAGGCACTACTTCTTAAGCTTATATTTAAATAAATCTGTAACTTGGCCAGCCAAGTTACAACGTATACCTAAATACCTTTCATCTACCTTTGCAGCTGATTTACTATGCATGTTGTAGTATGTCTTGATCAGCTCATGTGACAAAATAGCCACTTTCTCTTAATCACTAAAGGAGATATACAGCTACAATACTTAGCCAAGCTCATTTGAATATAGTTTATTTTTAACCATACCATGAGAGTTCAAGTTATAGGATAAACTGGAGTTTCTGGGTATAGGCCTCGCTTTAGTATGTGGTCAATCAGACATTAAAATTATTTAACTACTATGTCATCATTTTGACAGTCAGCTTGTATACCAGTTTTAAAAGACCTTCTACATCTTTTATTAATCTAATGAAGTGTCACCCTATTTTACTGTTTTATGAGAAAATATTTCAACTTTGTAAATTGTTTCATATTTGGAGGTTCTAACTGTAGCTATATTATCATAATTTTATAAATCTCATGAAGGTTATCACTACCGTAATCACAGCACTCGTACAAGATGCAGCAGCCTTCAAGAGCAATGGCACTAAGCCCGTCAGCAAACAAGTCCCTGTCTCATTCGAATGATCTGTAGTAAAGCAGCTTGGACATCTTCATCCATGTGACCCTAGAGCAAGCAAACACTTAGTTAAAAGAAAAATTTAAAAAATCCCATAAAGTGCCAAACATCCATTGCTAATATCAGGAGATTCCTCAAAACTACCCAAAAGTCTTAACTCCTTGCTGTATTTTCACCACTCTGGGAAAATCTGAAATACTTTAGGAATCTTGTTATTTCTTTCTCATGAGGGAAGGAAGGGTCTGCCTCTCCAACACAGCAGTTTCCTTTACTAAAATATGATGTGGGAAAAAATTACTGTTCCTATCCTCTGGACTCCACAGCCTGCTGCTGTAGTAACGGTCCCTCTTTTGCACGCTTAAGTATCTCCAGTCATTAGATTTGACTTATTTGATCAGCTCTTTGTTCAGCGAGAGCCACTGAGCATTAAGTTTCCAACTTCGACTCAACTTCTTTCCAGTGTTACCTGGGGTGATGCAGAATTAGTAAGCAGACACCATCACCCTTCAGAGCAGGTTATTGCTATACGTACTTACACATTGACAAGTGGTAGCAAGATGACAGCACAATGAGATTATTGTTTGCTTTTTTGTTGGATCAGTCCATTCTAAATTAAAACTCTCAACATGAAAACAGGTACTTAATGCTAGTTTCAAGTTTATTTAAGGTCTTCCAGTACAGCAGTTAGAAACATGTCTCAAGAACCCCTACACTGAGATGACAGAGTAAAACAAATCTGAACTTGGAACGATCATACCTGTACAGCACTAAGAAGATGCGTCCGATAAACCGAAACTACCTCTTGATGCTGCCTTTTCGCATCCTATGAAGAGAAGAGAGGAAGAGGAGGTGAAGTCATCACATTTTTAACATCTACTCTTGCCTATTTCCAACTTTGTGGGCTTGGTTTGTTGTGTTTTCAAGGTTAGAGTTAGCTATATCCACTCCGTTAATCAAGAAAAAAAAAGTCACCGCTTCACTTTTTTATTGCTTACTTGTAGCAAAGCAATTTTGCTGAAAGGCTATCAGAGACAGGCTCATCTAGTGTGCCAGCCCTGGTGCTAAGATTAAAAACTGTTTCATCAATAGCATCAGCTATCTCTTTAGAACCACCCAATTTAAGAACACTTTGCCTTACAAGGGTCAACCTTGCAAATATTATTAAAGACGTATCCTACTTCTGTACAGACTTACAAATAACTGACTTTGCTCACATACATAGCTTTACTTTTACACTTTATTGAAGTCGCAGGGGCCACAAATGTGTTTGTGCACAAAATCACAGCACTTACCATAAAGTGTTCCCCTTTACTGTCAGTACTTAATGATAAGCAATATACTTCACAATGTTTCCAGACAAGGAAACACAAATAAAATCCATTAAGAAAGGACCACCTTGCTTTCTCTCGAAGTGAGAAAATACATGCCTGGTAGGTTTTTTGCAAGAAAATATTAACATGGAACTTGCATATAGTCTTGACGTGAACTATAGCAGCGTATTTCGTAAGCACAAATTCTCTAAATTGTTTGTCTCCTCTTTTTCTGGCAAGTTCCCAAATGTCACAACTCTAATGTACAGAAGGAAGTAGACAAGTTTACAGAGAAGCAAGCAATCAGGGAACAAATATTAATTTGTGAATACTCTACTTTTGAGGTCTAAGCCTACAACCAGCCTCAGTGTTCCTGTGACCTCCTTTACACAAGAATCTGTAAGCAGTGCTACTGCATTTCAGACAACACCCTGCGCGATTACTTACAGCTAGCTGCTGTTGTAGTGTTTTCACTTGGTTCTGGAGCATTTCAACCTGCTGGTTCTGCCTCTTTGAGGGAATTCCGGAGGTGTATGTAAGCTGAGACAAGCCATTAAGAGCTTGTTTTAACCGCTCTACATCATTAAGCAGCTCTGTTATCTTTCAAAAAAAAAAAGCACACAAAACCATCATTTAAGGATGCCTCACCTACTGAAAACTACTAAAAAAAAATATTCTTTAACATTTTTCTGAAGTCTGATGAAGCTCAGCAAGCACTGAAGGGTCTTTGTCCCAGCTTGCCATCACAATGGCCAAGAGAGTTCACAAAGACAGAGGACTTCATTTCTATGACATGCTATCACTGGTTCACATTCAGCTTCCCAGCACTGAAATCTGTGAGGTGTGGAGGTACAGACCCTGGAGGTCAGCCAGCAACAGAAACAACTTACGCTATAAGGATATTCTGGGTCTAATTTCTAAAAAGGACAACGAGCAGTCAGAAGGCAAGCCAGAGATACTAAACAAATACAGCTCCCATGAAAGAATGGGTTTATACCCCAAAAGTCTGAAACTCAGCTTTAAACACTACACACGATGCCCAAAGTGTAGGAGGAATTACAGAAGTGTAGTATAACGCAACCAAAACAAGGACTTCATCTGAGCACATGTGGGCCAGCCCTGGGTACCTAACGCTCCATACACAAAGTCGTGCGTGACTACTTCAGTGGCTATATTTGAAATCTAGTTAATGCTCCTGACATTTTCAGTTTAGTGGTGACGAACTCTGACATCCTACCTTGTTATCCTTGGCTTCCACCTGCTTTGCAGATTCCTGTATTCTCTTCTGCAAGTCAATAATTGTTGTCAATGATTTATCACACCTTTCTTTCTGGTCTTTAATTTCTTGCTCAATACTACAACTCCGTAACTGAAGCAACTCCTTTTCATCCTTTAAAGAAAGCTCACTCTTTTTAGCTTGCAAAGCCTCCTCACATGCTTCCTCATACTTTTTATTCATATTGGACAAGTTCTCAGCTATGCTATTAATCTGGGCCTCCAGAGCACTTTTCATGGATTTGTATTCTGACATGTCAATCACTTCTTTACTCTCCAGGTCTGTTAAAGCTTGTTGAGTAAGCTGAATCTCAGACTGCAACTTCAAGATCTCCTCATTTTTAACTCTGTTTTCTTCTTCCTTTTCTTTCAAGCTGTTTTTGATCACTACAATTTCTTGTTCTAGCATTTCCTTCATCTGTGTATATTCTACCAAAGGTATTGAAGACTCTTTTAGACCTGACAAATCTCCTACTTTTAGCGTTTCTTTGTCATAACATTCCTTCTTACTTCGGAGGGCTTCCTTTAGATCCTCTATCGTGTGACCAAGAGCCTTCTTCAAGGCTTCAATTTGTTCTACTGTGAGGGGCTGAGCCTGCAGAGTTACGGGCTGCTTGGGACTCTCTTGCAGCTCATCTTTTTCTTTATCATCTGTGTATTTCTGCAGCAATTCCCTCAACTGCTTATTCAACTCCTCCATTTTGCTTGCAAACATTTTTTCCATTTCACGGGATTTCTCAGCAAGGATATAGTTCTGCTGCAAGTCATTTTGGATGGACAAAACACCATTTTTGAGCTTTTCGTTCTCCTGTCTGCACTTCTTGTTTTCCTCCTCACTTTCTCTGTACTTCTGCATCTGTTCCTGCAACTGTGCTTTTAATTCCTTTACTGTGGCTTCAAAGCTTTGCTTTCTGTCTTCAAAGGAGGCAACTGGGGCATATTTTGACTTAATGCATTCTTGAATTGTGTCAAGTTCCTTCTTTTGGGCTTCAATTTCTGCATGCAACTGCAAAATTTCTTCTTGACCCCTCTTATATTCAGCCGTAATTGCAACATTGTTCTCCTGAAGTTCTTGCATACTTTTATTTAAAGCAGTCACTGTACTTTCATGATCTTTTAAACTTATATGCTCAGTTTGTAATTGATTCTGTAAGAGTTTCACCTTATTTTTCAAAGTTCCATTTTCTTCATTTACCCTCAGGAATTCTTGCTTTATCTCTTCAGTTTTTTCCTTCAGATCCGACAGCTCCCTGTTAGTCTTCTCTAGTGTGTTATTCAAGGCTGTTTTAACCTCCTCATGTGTTGTAGCCAACACATACTGATCCCTGAGAGTCTCCCTTATGACTGCATTTTCTGAGACTAGTTTGCATGCTTTTGCTTGCTCATCATCATATTTTTTCTGAAGCTCAGCAAGCTGCTTTTCAAGTTCAAGACCATTAGATTTTAAGGCTTCCACTTCTTTTTTGTGCTGCTCTGGAGACAGGTATACAGCTTGGAAGTGGCTGATATTCTCACTTAGGTGGTTGTTCTCTGCCAGCAACTTTTCAGCTTCTGCTTTGCTTTCATTGTACTTCTTTGTTATTTCAAAAAGCTTTTTGGTCAGGTCACCAACGGCCAGATCATTTGTTTTCTTCAGTTCTTCATGAATTTTTAAAGGCACATTCTGGCTTTTTATTTCAGTTTTTAGCATTTGGATTTGCTGCTTAAGCATTTTGTTATCAATCTGCAATTTTTCAAGTTCCATCTGTAGAGTCTGATTCTTCTGTGATAGTTCAGAAATTGTCTTCTCAAGTTCCTCATTTTTTTGCTCAAACCCACTCCTCATTTGTTCGTGGTCTTCTGGCTTTACATGCTGAGCTAGTTTAGCTTTCTGACTCTCAGATTCCCTCTTTAAAAGCAGAATCTCTGCCTGCAGCTTGTCACGCTCTCCTTCCATCTCTGCTAACTTCCTTGCTTTCTCGTTCACTTCATTTGACAACAAACTCTTCATGTTTTCAAATTTCTCTGAAGTTACAGAGTGGGCTAACTTTGCTGCTGTTTCTTTGAGCTGCCCTTCTAACTCCATGACATTTCTTCCCCTTTTATCTCGTTCCATCTCCAACTTAACAAGTTCCTTCTGCAACCTTTTATTCTCTTCCACTAGCCTTCCTTCATCTCTCTTAAATTCCGCCACCAGCAATTCATTCTGCTTAATCTGGTTCCTTAGTTTTCCCACTTCAGCAGAGGCTCCTTCATACTTCGTTTTCATTTCTTTCAACTGATCTTTCAGCTCCTCTGTTAGCTTACTGTTTCCCAAAGCAGCTTCATTAGTCAGGTGATCTTTCAGAGCAAGAAAGTGGGTCTGCATTTGCTTAACTTTGCCTTCAGAGTCAAACATCCTTTTCTGCACATCTTTTAAAGCATCTTCCAGTTGTTTTATCTGTCCATCAGATTCCGCCTTGGTTCTTTCGCACTCAGATGCCAAAGCTTTGCATTCAGATACCTTGTGAGAAAGTTCTCTCTGCAGTTTGCCGATTTCTTCTTTTGCCGCACCATAGCAGGTCCTCACGTTGTCAAGTTCTTTCTTTAAAGCTTCCTTCTCGGAACTGGATGATTGGTTAGGCAGGGAGAGCTCCAGGGGTCTCAGCATTGACCTAGACTGAAGACAAATCGGAACAAAAATGGATACCTGTTTACAAGTTTGACAAGTCATATACGTATGACTTGTCATATACATCACTGTCTTAAACCTATGTTGATATGAGCATCAAATTTGAGATTTTTTTTCTCCTTTGAAACACACTAACCTATTCTTGCTCAGATTACAGAACACATATTTCAGCTTTTAACAATAAAAACCTTGAATATAGCTCTACATTACTGTTTCCCAATCATCAGACCCTACTAACATTAAAGTGCAGGTATACTATATTCATTTCCCTTGTTATTCATATTTAATCACTCATCTGCTAGAAGTTTAATAAATTAAGAGATTTCCCCCATCCCTCAAGCACATGAAAATAATTTTAAAAGTAAACAGAACAGAGTACGTTATGGTTAACAGAACCTTCTCTCTGAAAAGACTGAGGAAAACAGTCATTTGGTTTCCTGTGCAGTAAAGGATATCTCAAAGAAAAACAACAGTTTTGCCCTCCTGCCATGTGATCTTCACTACCAAGCTTCGCTTCACTACCAGCCGTGTCCCGTGGCACAGGCTTGCTCCAACATCTCATGCAGCTTCTGGGCAGGACCAGCTTGAAGCCACTTAATTCCTGCGTGGGACATAGTTTGGGCTTTTTTGGCTGGTCAGTTGGCTTTTTGTGCCTACCTCCCACCCATCTTTTTCCTAAGACCACTGGGATAACCTTGTGTAAAACATGGCAGAAGAGACTGGATTTTTCTATGTTACCAGCAGAACATACAAGATAGATATATATCTGTGAAATCCAGCAAGAAAGCCTAGGATGTACAGATTTATTTCTAGCCACCGCTCTCTGCTGGAAGCATTACTGCTGAAATACTCAAGCATCAGAACATCTTGTCAGTTAGGATGAATCCCTGTGGTATATGACTCATATATAAGGGTCAGGTGGACCTTATTTCTAACTGAATCATTTAAAAGGTAGCTAGCTATCAGAAGTTATTGTATAGCTGGCAGGAAAATAAAGTCTTTACTCATATAGAAATAAGGTCCACCTGACCCTTATAACTGAATCATTTAAAAGGTAGCTAGCTATCAGAAGTTATTGTATAGCTGGCAGGAAAATAAAGTCTTTAAATCCAGCTAAAAATCAGAAGTAAAAAAGAATTACGGAGATGAAAACCCAATTGCACTTTACACTGCGACTGTTGATCCAGTAGTTTGTTGGTTGTTTTCAGACCATTCAGCATCCAAGAGTTTCCCAGCATTTAACGCTATGTCACATACGTAACTCTAGAGGGCACCAGCAGTTAAAAATAAACATAGCAAAGCAAAAATTACTGAAAATGTATTCAGAAATGTTTAATGTATGTACATTTATAAGTATATTTAGCTTTCCCAAGCGTAACTATCTTAGAATTCTCTCAAGTGGCAAAATATTTATTACCTGTGATTCCACAGCAAACACTTGGCCTTGCTTAAGTAATATATCTTCTTTTCCTAGATTTTCAGAGCAAACAGCATTTAGTCTCTGTTTAAAAACAGTAATACATAATCACAAGAACCACGGTTTTCCTTCCTAATTTTATTCTGCTCAATGGGACTGCGCTAGGCTGCAGGCTGGTGTTTAAGTACTTGGTGTTAAAACAACTTCTCCTTAATTAAGTCACACAGTAGGACGTTGTCCAGACTTCTTAAGGAAAAATACCCTCACTACGCCAGGCTAGGTATTGTTCTGCTAAACAGCGATGAAAGCCACCTTGAGCTGCTGGCTGCATGTCTGCACATGAACACACCAGGGAAAAGCATCCTCTTGCACTCCAATACGTGATCCTTCCTGACAGGCAGTCAAACAGCTCTCATGAGGGCTCATGACAGCTTAAGTAACATTTTAAGTTACACAAGTGCAAGATAGGCCTGGAACCAAGTTGGGTGCAAAAGACTTTGGTTTCTGGAAATGGGATCACTTCCAATAGAAGTGTAGGCTGAGGTCTTGTGTATAAAGTCACTTTTAAACCTGGCTACACTCAAGCTTTCACAACGACCAGAGTTTTCTTGACACAAGCTGGACATGAGTTGTAAGATGAAGGATGGAAAGGGCAAGACTCCATTTGGAGCACAAATCTTGCTCAGCTTGTTTTTCACAGTATTAGAAAACATTGCAGAGTTACAAGGCACGTTTCACCAGACCAGTCACTCATAAGCAAGACTGATCAAGAGTGCACTGGCACTAGGGTACAAACACAACCAAGGCCAGCGACACTGTTGTGAGGTGTGAAGTGAGGACACACGTATTATGCTTGGCTATAGGTACGACCAACAAAAGGAAGAGGTGACAGAAAACACACCCTTTGTCTATGTACTCTAACACTGCATCAGGCACAGTAAGTTTTAAGAATTAAATATACTTACTATTACCAAAGTTACTTCCAGATCCTACAAAGTCAACCTAAAAGCAAACAGCAAGAAACACAAAAATAAAGCTGAAAATTCCTTTCGAGTTTTCACTATACGTTAAGCAAGGGATTAAAGGGCAGGGAAAACTTTTACAATGAGACAACCATTTAAAACTTTCAACAATTTAAAATTGCTTGATATTTACAATAGTAAATACTTAATTGCTGTATTACATTTTAAGTCAATTAACGTACTTCATAATATTTGAGTTTAGCTTTAAGTGCTTCAATAGTTCTTAAGCTTTCTTCCTGTTGTTTTTCCTTGGTAGTTAGGATTTTCTTCAACTCATCTTTCTGAAAGAGAAAGAGTGCCAAATAGCCAAAGCCACAAGAACAGCCAGATTTATAAGGTCTCAAGCAACTTTAAAAAAGTTTAGAAAGAACTTCAACCAAGATCAGCACTTGAAGAATCCCTAAATTTTTGATTCTGAAGTTCTTCCACAATGCTGTTCCTCTGCAAGAGGAATCATGAAGAATGAGTCAAGGGAATATGCACCAACATAATTTGCTATTGTTTAATTTATTTGCATTTATTAGTTCTGCGTTACTGAAAGTCACTAAAGAGATATAATATCAAGTCTGCCTTAAAGGTGCCATAGGGATTACATATATTATTTGTAGCAATAGAAGCGCTGTGCAGCTGTATACACTGAGTGCATATCAGTAGATATTTCATTTAGCATTTACAGATACCTTTTATCTCTATAGTTTTAAATACCATTACTGAAATGCAATAGTCACTTCCCCTATTTCATAGTTCTATTACACTTTAAGGTGATGTATCATACCTCATTTTCAAGATCATCTGCAAACATTTGCTCCTGCAAAAATAACAAAAAAATTCCCCCACAAATCATTTTTTCAAGAATGTCTTAGGGGCTTACACACAGTTCATTAGTTGACAAGTCTACCCCAGTTTCTAATGCTACCTGCTTCTGACTGTCCCCCTTCCATTTACCACCAATGTCTGTTTAGTTTTCTCTCTTGCCAAAAGTTAAGGGTGTTTGACAGAGCGATGCCCTTGATATGCATACTAGGAAACTGGAATGTCTCTTCAATTATCTAGATCATACACAACTGAGGCATAAGAGTACAGTTTTTCAGTAGAAGTCTGCTGATTTTGGAAACTGAGTGTTAAGGAGTGAGTTTGTGGGTTTTGTTTGTTTTATAAGGGCAATGCTTAAGATAAGTTCAGACAAGCCAATGATTACCAGAAGAAATATTCTTTCTAACCATGTGCCACACATAGGGGAAGCTGCATACACTTTTTAGATGTACATCCTGAAAAAAATACAGTGAAGGAACAAATGTGAGCCTCCACAAAGCAAAAAAACCCTGGTGTTATTTTTTTTCCTCAATTGTACTGGTCATATTTAGACCTCTAAGAGGGAACTTTTTTTAAAACAGGGTTTCAAATTTGGGTGAGAATTTCCCTATTGAAAACCCTTGTTTCTGTTTTTGCCAAATGAGTATTTTTCTCTCAGTTTCCACTTACAGTAAAAGCTGGAAAATAAGCAATGGCTATGATAAAGTACTGACACACACCACCTACGCTGAATTGTGCGGATAAAGTTTACTCTCCAAAGTACAATGTACCAGAGCACCTCGTGGTTCATGTTACACTGCAAGTTATAGCCATAAATGTTATTGCTCCAAGTTATGAGTATCAGTGAATGACTTTGTAACACGTCTCCTCGCATTTTGAATATTACTACAAGACCAGAGGCTTTTGCAGCAGAATAAAGTGATCGTGACACATATAGAAATAATTCACAGGAAAGCAGCAAAGACTGCATTCCTAATTACACATGCTTTCCTCTCTACTTCTACCAGCCTTCTCTGTCAGCGTCAGGTGGTCATTATAGCTTTCACAGCAGGTTATTCCAATGCTAGGTTTACCTCATTCAATTGTAGTTGTAGCCCACTGATTCTATCCAGCAGCATCCTTTGCTCCTCTTGTACTTCTCTCATTCGATCTTTCAAATCTTGATTTTCTAACTCCAATTCCTTAAAAAGGAAGTAAAAACAAGATTAAAAAAGCCACAAAACACCACACTATACACACTGGGAAAACTAGAGTCTGAACCAACAGTTTTAACAGTCAGTAAAGACACCAAGCCTTGCCTACAAGTCCCCTAATAATTCTGTGGCCTTACTCCAGGTCTGTCTCATTCTGAAGGTTTACATAAGCACAAGCTCGAGTCTTCAAGCTTTTCAGCTCTAGGCAGCTCACTTGTATAAGTGTACATACAGGTTTTGAAAGTGTGAGCAGAGTAAGATTACATTCAATGCTGACAGCGCTCACAGGGCTGCTTACCTGCTGTCTGCTAAGTAAGAATAACCAATGGCAAAACAGTTCCTGGAACCCAACCACTGCAGCCAGAGGTGTCATGAAAAAGCCTCAGCACCAGGAAACACAGCAACCTTTAAGTGTGCTAACTGTTCCAGCGGCCACAAGAATCACTCTAGCAACTCATAATGAATCCAACACATGAAAGTGATGGATCTTTGCGCTACCAGTCAGCCCAGTGCTCACATGCAACCAATAATGGCTGCTTAACTCTTGCCTGATAATCACTGCCTTAACTGCTGTAGCTCGAACCAGAGAATTTGTATTTAGAGATCTTTATCCTTTTATTACAAATCCTTCTGGAACAAAGGCCTCAATTTCTCAGTGGTTTGTTCCCCATAGCTTAAAACATTGTTTACCTTTTCGAGAACTGTAATGACATATTAACAAGATGAGAAAATTAATACTAGTTAGTAGAACAATTATGATACAGGTTGCTATCAGTGAGACACTTAAACACTCATCTCAAGAATGATACAAGAAAATAAATATTCCTGGTTTGTGACCCTGTGATTTTACTGCAGGTGAAAGTAGGGGACAGAAGGTGAAGAGATGGGTAGGTTTAAGACAAGACTTGCAACTATGTTACACAAAGAATTATTTCTTTCCTGAAAAAGTTTGGTGCCGATCTGCGTAATGGCTACATTACACACTCATGCAATTAAGTTTTAAGTAAACAGCAATATATATGACCTTTCTTAATGGCATTGCCAATGCTTACTTACAAGCACATCTTGTCTTTAGTATGTCTGGCTCATTATGCACATGGCATACGCAAGTCATAGAAATCCCTCTCGGTTACCTGAGCGTTATGTTCCTTCTGATACAGCCTGACATTCACCTCCTCCTGCGCATGCAGCCGATTCCACTTCTGTGACATATTAGTAATCTGTTATTGCAACAGTAAAGCATTAATTTATATTCCTGTTGTGTTCTACAGTCATCCATTTCTGGGGATGGTGGGCTGCGCTCAGCTTGCCCAGGGCACAATCCTACCGCGGCTCCCATCTGACAGATTGCTTCTCAGCGAGAGGTCACTCCTCACCTCACCCGGACAGGAAATGGGATGCCGGTCAAAACTCTAATCCTGAATAGGCACATCACTGAGTATTCTTCTAATAGAAATAGACACGCCATCTGATTACAGAGGCAGTCTTCTCAGCTACATACAAAGTTAAGAATTCGAAAAATACTGAACTGGTTTTGCATCATAGCACAATCTTAATCACCCTCTCAACGATACCAGCAGCGTACTGCGTTTCAGTGGTCAGCAGTAAGCAGCTTACACTTCACCTCCTTCAGTTTGACACCTACAATATTACTCTTGTACTAGGAGTCACTCAACACCTCCCTGAAGAGATTTAACAGGCCTAACCATCACGTCTCGAAGAGCTGTATTTCGGTATAAAGATGTGGCAAGAAGCAAAAAAAGTACCTAAGTTTTGTTTGACCTGCAGCATACACATATAGCATCAATCTTGAAGTAACAGGCCTGCTGAGCAGCATCAGGCATTTACTTTGGATTATGAATCTTGAAATTACAAAAATCTTGAAATATTTCATAATTCTTACATTGTCCTCCATCAAATGAGGCACTGATGGTGGGTAAAGAAAATACTACACATTCATCAGTAGCTTACAGAAGGTAATTTTACTCATTAGTTGCATTTATAGGCCGGTTTCACAGCAGAGACAAGCCCAGTAAAATTTACACCACAAGCCTGTAATCTTTCTTTCTGTGATATATACTGAACATTTGAATTAAACCTTGGAAACAATCTTTCTAGGCAAGTTAAAAACAATTCAGTTTTACTCCCCCAACATGTTTTAAAAACATAAGGTGTCCCCACCATATGTTGGGAACATCAGGTGGGGGACACCTCTGCAGAACAACAAGTTTTGAAGATACTGTAGTGACAGACAAAAGTCAGCTCCTTGCTCAGCAATAGCTCACTTCCAGCCTGAGACAGCAGAAAATTTAATAAAAATGAACACTGGCTCCAACCCAGGCTCAAATATCCCTGGGCATTATGGGCCCTGCATTGTAACTCTTTTTTCACCCCAAAAGGGAAATTGAAAGCATAACATGGTAAAAAAAAAATCGAAACTTCACTAACACTGTGTGCCATGTCACACCTCCTTCAGAAACTAGCCTTAGGAGATAATTAGTATAAGCAGCCTCACCTTTTGTTCAGGTTGCCCTTTCTTCATGGTATCTCTTGCTAAAAAAGCACCACAAAAATAGGAAGTTAAAAACCACATTTCATACAGACTCATGCAACACATTCAGCTATTTCTATCAAGTGTCAGTCTTGGGAGGACATGTCAAGAAACAGATTTCCCTCCCACAGTTAATTAAATATGGAAACACATGTACAAAGTCTTTCTATAGATAAGGCTAAATAATTCTTATGATCAATACTGTAATGCCAGGTTCAGCAACGTTAATACCTTGAGGCATTGGAGCCTGCGTTAACCTTAAAAGCTTTACTAAACTCAAACAGAAACCCAAAGCCTTCTTTCCCTCCCAAACAGGCAGTTCATCACCTTTTTGTTTAGAGGACTACAGCTGCCCTCCAAAGAACAGTATCCTGAAGACATAGCAGTGGGAAGACAAACAATTCAAATGAAAGAGTAACATCAAACTTATAGCCGTGTTCTTCATACCTTTGCTGGAATCCTCAAGAGCAGCTTTTATTAAAGCCAAAATGTCAATATTGTCACCAATTCTGGCATAGTAAGCACAGTCATGACCAAGGCCATCAGTCAAACTAACATCCGCACCGTTTTTGAGCAAAACTTCTACTGCATCCTTGCAGCCGTATTCACAGCCTAACATTAAGGCAGTCCTGAGGATGGGGAGAAAGGTTGCATTCAGAGATTAGGGGATGTCACGCTTTAACGGAGCAATCACAGAAATAATCCTTTGTACACTTATGTCTAATCACGGAAACTTGAGCCAAGGAATCTTTCCTCTATCAAAAGAGGAAACTAAGCTTTAAGAAGTCACTTAGCCAGTGTTTAAACATTTGTTAAAAAGCAAACAAAACCACTATAATAGCAGTACTTCCACAAAACCCAGCATAAACCTACTGCCTTTGAGGCAGCCACCCAGTGCTTTGAAAACCTCATGTGACTTCTGGCTGCCTCTCGAGATACACACATCAACAGAGACAACAAACACAAGACAAAAGTTTAGCCAAAGTCTGGGCAAGTGCTTGGGAGCCCTGGCAACATCTTCCAAACACACGCCAGCGTCAGAGCACGAACACGAGTACCCATGGGTTGTTCCACAGCAGCCTCACATCCACTGGCCACCAGGTGATCATCCTCCAAGAAATACCTGGCAGAAGTACCAGCTACAAATAGAAACGGCTCCCCTGACCCTTGCATGAATGTAGAAGCAAACATTTTAAGACATTTAGGTCCCTTAGAAACTCCAAGGGGACCCCAGTACTTCTTGACAGAGTACCACTTTTGTCACAACCCATTTTGCATATTGATCCCAAAGGGTGCAAGATGCAGCTTTGTACAAACCCTTAAAAAACCAACTGTTGTTTCTCTGCTGGCAGTAACAAGCCTATATGTATTTTAGATGCACGAACAAGCAATAAAAAGGCCAAGCTTATCTGCATTATTGAATTGGCGTATCTACTTTGAAATAAATCCCAGGGTCTTTCCACTGCATTTAGCGTATTTATTCTGTAGCCTAAAAGCCAAAGGAAAGCTTTCTGCCCTGTAAATGTCAGCAGGCATTATGACAGCACTCCGCAGGCATTACCTGTTCTGTTTGTCCCTGGCATTAACATCCGCTCCTCTGTCTATCAGAAGCTGACAAACCGTGGGACGACACATCTGAGTGGCCAGCACTAGCGGTGTCCTCCCGTCCTGCAGAGAGGAAGGGCAAACAAATCAGGAAAGGGAGAGAAAGCAGAGGAAGCACAAGAACTCCAATAGGGTTTGTGCAGGATATGGCTATAAGCAGCAACTTACTCCGTCTTTTGAATTCACTGAGGCCCCATGATCACACAGTAGTTGTATGCTAGAGGAACAGTCTGACATAGCTTTCAAGAGAAAAAGAAAGAGCAAGTCATACTGCTGAGAACAGCCTTCGCAAAACCCCAAACACCTCCTTGGACGTATTTGTTTCACAAAAATTCAGGCAACTAAGTTAAAGCATGGCCAGGCTCTATGACTTAGTTCTCACACAGAAGCACATGAAAGAAATCAAACTGCTGTTCAAGACACCACGTATCATGATGAGGACTCAGACAATCCAGAGTAAACCTACTAACATCAGTGCTCTAACACACTGCTTAAGATTTTACTAGACAATTTATGAGCATCAGAAGAGACTTGCTGACCTAAAACCTCTGCTAAATCTGTTAGTAAGTTTGTTATTGAGGACAAATGTCATGACAACACAAACAATCTCCTACTGCAGTCACCAAAATTAAAAAAGAGAAGAATTTGGCCCATCTGAAAGTTAATCCATTAATTAAATCTAGATTTCATACTGCAGTTACCAGAAAAGCAAAATCTTTTACCTGCATCATGAAGAGCAGTTCTTCCTTGAAGATCCACATTCTCCGTTGGACAGTTGTACTGTTAAAACAAGTAACCCCAGTTATCAATTAGGATTCAGATTGCACTTAAAACATGAAACATTTTGAGGTTTGAATTAAAGCAATAAAAACTGATTTAAGAAAAAAAAGTAAGTTTGCAGTTTACAAATACACTGACATACATGAAAGAGCCATGGACTTTAACATTCTAAACACATTGATCCAAATTTGTAGAGTTAAGACCATGCACAGAAAATGCACAATTCATCACAGACTTTTCAAACATTTGTTCACTATGGCTAAGATTCTCCACTACTTGCCATTACTCCCTCACTGCCAGTATCACTACTAGTACTGGTCCTCCACAGAAAACATACCATTTATATCTGTGTGCAGACATGCATCAAGTAAACAAAAGACAAAGAGACTCCATTAAAAGTTCAAAAAAAATCAAGTGAGCATAAAGAAATGAAAGAAAAAAAATAATCACACAAACCTAAGACAAGCACCCAATATTGTTTCATTAATGAAAGATTACTGGATGCAAATGCTTCGTTTTTTGAAGAGAACACTACTCTTGAGCAGATCTTTCAGCGTTACTGTTACTAAATGCAAGTGTATTCAGAAAAGGAGCACTAGTCTTTCAAAAGACACTCAATTCTGTTTTCTTTAAGAGGTAGAAACCACAACTTGATTTGATTGTCTACGTGAAGAGAGAAAAAGACGTTTATTTTCTTTATTTTAGCACTCTGTCAGCCACAACCTGTTATTTAATATGAAAAGGTCTTTTCCCCATGGCTGTCTTGTTTTTAAAGAATGTAATTGGGTTTTTTTTAAAAAAAAGGTAAGTGGCATATCCCATTTCCAATCAGTATATTTAAGAGCATCTTTTTTCTTCTGAAGAATAAAAAAACATGACAAGTTGTATTTTTCAGTACCTGCAACAGCTTCTGCAAACATAAAGCATGTCCATATTTTGCAGCTAGGTGCAATGCGTTTCTACCTAAAAAGAGATATTAACATCAATTCAGGATCTATTTTAACATGCCTTTAGAAATACTACACAAATTCAACATGCCTATGCTGTTTCTCAAAGTTTATTACTAATTACGTAACTCTAATAAGAAATTTGTACTTCACTAAAGCATTAACAGTTTATTTCATCTCAAGAGACTGTCTTCTGCCTCCTCTATAATTCCACGTGCTTCATTACTGCTCATGCTACACGTATGAAACAGCATACATGTGTCATTAGACTGCTAGATTGATTTCACAAGAGTTTAGAGCAACATCCACATCATTTTAGATACAATGGTTGCTTCCCCCTTGATTCTACTAGTACTGTAAGTCATCTCATACATACTTCACTATTTGCTAAAGTCTTTTATTTTAGATAAACTGCAGCCAACCATTCAAGTTCATGAACAGTGAAATTAATCTCAAAATAGAACAGTGAAATTAATCTCAAAATGTCTCCACAAGCATTTTAAAAAAAAAAAATAAATCTGTCATATGAAAGGCTAGATTATTTCTATAATGAAGTTGAAAACAAGGCAATATTTGTTAATCTTGTTAAATTAAAATGTGAACAAATCTGAGGCAAAATTAGTGCCCATTTCTAATTACCTCTTTCATAACACTTTCACATAAACTCAGAGTTTATAAACACAGACGCACTCTGAAGTTTTCAGGGCTCAATAAGGGTGCACGAACGCCTCCCATATCGTTTCATTCTAATCCTCACTGCATACAGTACAAGTCTCTGCGAAATACACTTAGTATTTAAATGAACACAAATTTATTTAAAACTGTTTTTATACAGAAATACTGATCTCACCCGTGAGCCTGGAGCAGACTGTTATACAGTTACAACAGCACAAAGCCAAAGTTCACAAGTTCTGCTGCATGTCAGGGGCATTCATGAAGTTACATTAATTGATATGAGCAGTTTCCTCTAAGTTCAGCAACGAGTCACACAGATAATTTTTTTTTTTTACCAACTACAGGGAAATCCATGGAAAGGAAGAGCATCTATCCTATAGCTTAGCTTAATTCACTCCAAAATAAAAACCAAGCTGAGGAGCTTTGCAAGTTGTACTTGGACATTTGAGGAAGCCTACCTGCAGCGTCAGTGGCTGTGATATCAACTCCATGAATAAGGATGGTGTTCAAGCAATCCAGGTTTCCCTTCGACGCTACAACATGGAATCTAAAAATGGGAAATACCTTGCTTAAGCACAACTGGTTTATACAAAGAAACAGTAATATTAACCAGGAAAGTCAAAGCAAACGGCTGCATACTGAAAGCATCATACAGTACAAACCCAGCTTTGGGCAGAGTCCAAATCCAGTTAAAAGTTCTGCAGTTTTTACTTTAAGGAACAAGATGACTCTTTGGAGAAGTAGTCATTACTTACCTTGAATCAGCAAACCAGGTGAAAAACCAGTATGCTCTCCATTTCTCTTTAATATTCAAATCTGGCACGAACAAGTATTTAAATACTGATCTTCACTTTGAAGTGAAGATTGTGTATGAGAATTTAACATTCTAGCTATCTGGTATTCTAGTTTAGATGAGGCTGGAATCTACCATGGTATATTACAGAGATTTATGTATTTTTAAAAAGTTTTTAGAGCAGCAGTAACATTTAGGAATTGGGTAACTTTCAGTAGCTTCCCAACACCATTATTGGAGCGAGTACTGGAAGTTACTTACGCAGATCTCCCTTCCACATCCAGTTTAGTAGGACTGACTCCTTTTTTGCCAAGGATTGATGAAACTTTTTCCACGTCGCCTCTTTCAGCTGCTTTCATTAACCTGTCATCATATTTGTTCCAGTCTGTGTTCAGCTGTATAAGACAGAATTAGAAAAGCAAGTGAGTTTACGGTACAGTATTGATCTACTAAAGGAACTTCAGTAAAAGGCTGAATCATACGCAACAGGCGGGGGGAAGCAAAAAAAAAAAAATCTTGGTTTACAGATTGAG